CCACAGCCAAATTAATCGTCCTCCACCCCGCCGTCCACAAATCTGGCGCCGCCGCCGCCTCCCACCGCGCCTGGCTCGCAGCCTTCGCACTCATCTTCACCTTCACCTTCGTCCTCACCCTCCTCACCACCCGCGACGCCGCCGCCCGATCCGCCGCCGCCGCCCACGCCGGATCCCGCCCCCCGCCGCTCCCCAAGGCCGTCCACGACGCCCTCCTCCACTACGCCGCCGCCAATGCCTCCTCTGCCGGCCGGATGTCCTCCGCCGAGCTCGGCCTCGTCGCCGCCGTCCTCCGCCGCTGCCCGTCCTCCCCCTGCAGCCTCCTCGTCTTCGGCGTAACCCACGAGACCCCCCTATGGGCCGCGCTCAACCACGGCGGCCGGACGGTGTTTGTCGGCGAGAGCGCGTACCTCGTCTCCAAGCTGGAGGAGAGGAACCCGTCAATGGAGGCGTACGACGTCCACTACGGGACGAAAGTCAGCGAGCTGTACGATCTCCTCGAGTACTCCCGGCGGGAGGCCGACGGAGAATGCCGCCCGGAGCAGAACCTCCTGTTCTCCGACTGCCGGCTGGCGGTCAACGACCTGCCGAACCACGTGTACGACGTGGCGTGGGACGTGATACTGGTCGACGGGCCGCGCGGGTACTGCGCGTCGGCGCCGGGGAGGATGGCAGCGATCTTCAGCGCCGCCGTGCTGGCGAGGAGCAAGAGGGGCGGCGCCGGCGAGACGCACGTATTGGTACACGAGATCGAAAGGGAGGCGGAGAGGGTCTGCAGCGACGAGTTTCTGTGCAGGGAGAATTTGGTGGAGAAGGTTGAGAACTTGGGACATTTTGTGATCGGAAAATTGAACTCCGGCGGTGGTGATGGCGGCCATTTTTGTTCCTCTGTTTCCCCCAAAGCGACTTGAATATCTCTTTTTTTGTTTTTATTTAAAGATATATGGTAGAAATTAATTATGTGCTATATAGTTAAATCAAAATGTCAAATATACCATGTTAGTTAATGGACTTTAGTCCTTGCTTTTTATGACTTGTCATTGTGTCGAGAGCTTTTAAACACAAAAAAAAAAAAGAAAAAAAAAAATGCTCGTGACTGGTGAGCTCAGTTCGGCTTAGTTCAAACTTCATACTGAACTGTTAAGATTCGAGTTTGGCTCATTCGAGTTTGAATTTAGGTTGTCAATCAATTTTAAACTGTCAAACTCAAGCACAAATATCAACTCAATATAGGTTCAAGGCCGAGCTTGAGAATTAAAGTTCGAATTCAACTTGTTTAAACATGTATTTATTTATTTTGGAAAATTGTGAGATTTGAAATTTCAAACAAGTGTTCAAAAGTAAGTGGTCAAATGTTCAAATTTGAAAAGGTGATTCTGTCAAGGAAATGTGATTACTTTAACACGAAGCCAGAATTTAGATGTGTTTGTCTGATGATTTAATTTCCAGATTAAGAAAACAAATCATAATCACGAGAAATGATTATATGCTCCGCAACTCCTAATTTTGAACTTTGTTTAAGCTTTAAACAATGTCGCTTTTGTGGGTGAAAATTGTACGAAATTTAAGGATACATGCCTATCGAGCCCTGCATTAGTGGTCCTTTTCTGTGATGTGGTCATTTTATTTTATGGTAATTTCTTAGTGTGATAAATATAATTAATTATATATTTATTCGAAAGTTTTGTTAGTTATTTAAAAAATAATATTTGGTAGTTTGTGAAAAGATTAGGCTTAACAGCATGCGATTAGATTGTGGAAAATGTGTGTCGGCCGACTGAATTATGTGGAATTGTGTCGGGGACAAGTAGGGGTGTTCACGGTCCAGATTGGTCCGGTTTTAGCCTAAACCATGACCAAACCGGACCTAATGGTTAATTTCTTTTCTTGTCCATAATCGGACCGGTTTTATTTTTTAGCCGACCATAATTCGGACCGCATTGGACGGTCCAGTTTGGCGGTTAACCAGTTAAATTCAAAATCCTTGTTTTGGGCCTTCAATTTTTATTTTTTCATTTTGGGCTTAATTTTTATTTTTCAATTTTGAGCCAAAAAGAGATTATTTGAGCCTAAAAATTAAGAAAAACAACAATAATGAAATAAAAAATACACAATTCGTCCCATAAGCATAAAAATACACATTTCGTCCCATAAATATAAAAGTACAAAAATGATAAAAATTAAATTATGCAAATTGAACCCAAGCAAACATTCATTTTTCAATCAGTTTATACACCTGAAATAATAAGAACAAAGCATTCATAGTGAATGTATTGTATTTGTCGGCCATAATGAATGTATTGTATTTATCGGCCATAATGAATGATTGAATGTATATATATATATTTGTTATAGTTTTTTAATATTTACCGGTTCGGTCCGGTTAAACAGGCGGTTTGCCACAGGTAATCCATTAACCGGACCGGTTATTCCGGATTTTTAAAAAAATTAACCACCGGATTTTTTAAGGCTTTTTTAACTGACCATTTAACCGATCCGCGGTCCAGATTGACGGTTTTTTTCGGTTAAAACCGGACCGTGAACACCCCTAGGGACAAGCTCCAAAAGTGTGCGGAATAATTTTACACATTAAATTAATGATTTAAAATAATAATTTTAGAATAATTATGCTTATGTATAATATTTTTGTTAGATAAATTTTACATTAAGATTATGTTTTGTTTGATAAAATTAGCTGATAATTTAACTTATACTAGTTTATATATAAGTGATATTCAAGCTTACAGTTGATAAACTATTGCTTATAGCTGAAAAACTAACTTATATAATAAAAGTGTTTAGTAAAATCAATTGATAAATTAGTTAAAATAAAAATTTCAACGAGCTATTTGAAAAGTTATCCAAAGAAGTTTATGAGATAAACTCAAACTTCTTAAAAAAAATACGTCCCACCAACTGAAGCTTATTTGAATACATGAATCTTATAAGCTATTGGAATTATGCCGAATAATCTGCCGATTCAGCCCATGGTCATATCTAATTATACCGAATAATTTTTAGTTTTGTACATGTGTAAATACTTTCGCAAGCATAAGATTCATTTAAATATTTTCCTTGGATGATCCTTACTTTATACAAGCATTATGTACGCATAACATTTTTCCATAAATTTCTTATATAAAAACATGAATTAAATGTTGCTATTTTTTTTCTTCTTTGTTTACAAATAAATGGGCAACTAATGATAATGTACGCATTAATGGTTTAAGCAGCACATGCAATTCTTTTATCTATCTTCAAGCCATTAATATACAAGATACAATAGTTATTAGTTATTACTTTAGGCGATACTCGTGACATGAAAAGAAGGAAAAGAATATGTGAATAATAAATGAAATACTTTAAAATTGTAAGTTTGTCTAAAATATTAACGAGCGCATCTTTTTTTTTTTCTCCCGTATTTCACAAAATAATTGTTTTTTCCATCTATATAAAATACATTTTTAATCCAATTATCACGAAAATATTATACAACTAAATGTTAATTGATTTCATAAAAAAAATAGTATGTCTTGAGTTTGGCAGCCTAACCATTAAGCTGATGTACTCTCTTCACAAAAATTCATAATTTCTCGAATATTATTATTTTATAGATAAAATGTGTAAAAATCATATTTGTGTTGATAAATTAAATTTTGAAAAAAAAAAATGAAATAAAAAATTGTATTTTTCAAATATTTGGTATCTATGATGATAATAACAATTAAAAAATATATATGTATCTCTAGGGAACAAATTAAAAATATTATACTATGCAATCCCACCTAAATGGTTATTAAATAGCACGTGGATTTGTATAATATAATCATAGAAACTTCTAGGCAACATATAACATGGGAACTACTGTCAGCGAATTTCATGTGAGGCATTTGATCCTCGCATTTGCAGTCTCACGTGCATCACGTGACCAAAGCTAGCATCTCTTTGCTTGTGTATAGATGTTGGCTGAAAATAAGATCTAAGAATCAGCAACCAAAAGATAAATCATTGTGCCAATTTAAACTTCTTATTTAAAAAAAAAAAAAAAATGAAAGGAGGGTTAAATAGGCAATTTCGATCTTACAAGTGCATATATATAACTTTTTCTTTATTGAATTATATCATATATACCTATATGAGTGTGTTTTATGACTTCACAAAATGGGATAATAAATAATTTTGATCATTAATTAGAACTTGTCGGCGAAGGGACATGAACAATTCCAACGATATTGTGTAGTGCCATAATAAAAGAACAATAATATATATATTTTTTTTAGATATTGGAAATTAGGTTCGAATTTAGTGGAGATGCTATAAATTGCCCAGTATAGGTGGAGTGCACACAACCTATGTACCTGCTCATTTATGAAAATGTTTTTTCATGTTTCATTTATTTTTAATTTCCTTTATTTCTGGTTGATTGAGTATCACATATTATTTTTAAAATTTTAATGTAGTAGTTATACTGGAAAGTGGAACATTAGATTTCATCTCCACATTTATACACGTGTTTAGCACAATGAAAACTTTTTGGGAAACTTGAATTAATTTTTTTTTTTTCTATTTAGACATTTCATATTCGGCAAAAATTCATTTTTAGTACACTATGTTGACCATTTTCTAAAAATTCTTTATATAAAGCGTCTTAAAGAATGGTCCCCTAAGTTGTCAGTTTAATCAAAATTCGTACAAAAGTCAACATAGTGTACTAAATATGACAACAAAAAATGATCATTTTTAATACACTATGTTGGTTATTGTAGGAATTTTGATTAAATTGGCAACTTAGTGGACCATTCTTGATGACGTCCTAGATGATGTATTTTTTTTCAGAAAATAGCCAACATAGTGGACCATTTTTTAAAATTTGCCTTTCATATTCAAAGGATATTCTTTATATATATAACATGAAAAACAATTATATATTCTTTAAACTCTTTAGTTTTAAATATATGCGCTTTGCAAATTTTACTTATTTATCAAATGATCAAACATTGGCATACTCTCAAACTTTATCGAAGAATTATATACGTGTCTTTGACATCATAAATCAGGTACACCGTACACCAAAACATTACTAACTTATTTCTTTAATTGTGGATTGAATTTTTTTCCCTACGATTCTACGAACATTAACAATCAAAGTTTATCCACTCTTAGAAACGGACGATTAGACCTGTAAACGAAGTGAACCGAACTTAAGCTTAGGGTGTTCGAGTTCGAGTTAGAGCCTTTAACAAGCCGAGCCGAGTTCGACTCGTTAAATAAAAAAGGTCGAGCTCGACTCATTAAGGTTCGAGGTCGAACCTTAACAAGTTTTAACAAACTGAATTATAGAAAATTATATAAAATTTCTTTTTTCGAGCCTTAACGAGCCGAGCATTAATCAAACGCACGAGTTTTAAATGAGCTCGAACTCGAGCCGAAACAGCTCGTTTATTTTATTTTACTTTTTCGTCAAAACCAGCTCGTTTAATTAACAGTACTACACTCGATCTATTCAAATTCGTTGTATATATGGGGTTAGCAAGCAACACTCATGATAGTGGCATATAATCCGGACCTAGGATTTTTTATCAGCCAGGGCAATATGATTTTTTTTTTCTAAGTTCAATTAAGTTAAAAAAAAAAAAAGTTACAACTTTTCAGTTACTGACGGGAAGGTAATTGTCCACGACGCGATTTCATATTTTGAAACTGATGCATTGTAGCATCATTGCTAATGCTATTAAATACATCTTTCTCAATATAAACAAGTAAACTATCATTCATACTCGGTACAACAACTACTAGCCCAACAGGTCAACATCTAAAACTACTAAATCAAAAGGAAGCTAGCAAAACACAAAACAGATTAGCAACTAATCAACTAATTAGCAACTAATTGTTGTCAATTGTCATCTGCATATATTGTACTCCAGTCTCCATACGCACATCAGAATAGCGAAAAAAATAAAAAAACAATTATAATGTAATAAAAACAAAAATAAGAATTTAAAGTTTTAAAAAAATTGATATGAATAATTGAACGTAAACACTTACATTAGAACAAAAGGGGAGAAATCTCGATCAACCGTCCTTGAGAATTGAGAAGAAATTTTATTTCGGATTCTATTTATGCTCGATTCAATATGAGTGAACGAATTTAAAATGGAAGATGATTAGATGAGAGTTGGGTGGAGTTCCGCGCGACCAATTTTGTAATGAGGGGAATTTTTTATGGCACATTTATCTCAAAGAAATTTGGGGATCTATTGCACAAGGCCTATGAGGTGTGAAGATTAAGAATGAACGTTTTTTTTTTTTTCTTTTTATCTGTCTGTAAGTGTAGGTAAATAATTATCAGTTAAAAATATATAATTGAATGGATTGTATTTTTTATTTAAATATATTATGTAGTAATGATTGCTTTTATTATTTAATTGTATTAATAATATTGAGAAAAATAAAAAGTTAGAATGAATAGCAATTTTTTTTAGAAAAAAAAAAAAAAAGAAACATATACTTTGTATTTTATTTTATTATAAAAATTATTAGAAAATGCAGTATATTCATGTAATATAGTATAAACTCTATTGTAAATAATTTCGTATTTATATTATTAAACATGTTAATAACATTAATTTATTGTTATACTTCTAATAATTAAGTACTATTAGTGTTTTGACTTTTTTGTATATATTTATATAATTAGGTCAAGCTATATATTATGAGAATGGTTCGTCATAAAAGTAATAATAATGCATATATAATAGTTATAAGATCGGGTATGTAACAATTAAGAAGGACCAAGATTACACAACAACAAAAAGAATTCTTGACATTTTCCTCACTCTCACACGGCCACAAGCTGCGGATGCATTGAGCAACAGACATATCAATTTGAGTTAATATATCTGCACTATGTATTTGCAGATTTGCACAATAAGAGTCAGGTTATACTTATACACCATGTTCAAAAGTCAAAATGTCTACCTAGTGTTCGAAATAGCATTAATGAATATATACATAGCATAATTGTTCTGATATCTCAAACAAAATAAAATAACGAACCCTAGACAAATTACTAAGCTCTAAGGGCAAATCATGCATGCATCATACTTCGTTGATTTTGTGCTACTGAAACCAGTGTTTCTAGAAGTCGCTAGGCCAGACGAGCGTTTAAGCGTGACCTAGAAATTAAGATTAAATATTTTATTTTTTAATTTATTTTCAGTACCTAAAGAATAAAGTTATCCCAACCATTATTCCATACACCGAACTCCAAATATTAGAAGAAAAAATGAGCAACCCACATGACCTCAAGTACTAACCACAAAAGCTGGTGTCAAAAGTTCATAACAAACTCCAAAGCACAAATAAGTTCGTAACCACAAGACCAAAACACTAATAAGAATTACGAAATATTGTCAAGGATCTTCTTCTTCTCCATATTTCTCCAATACTTACTTTTCAACTAACTCAAAGTCCGTATCATTTTCATTAACTTTTTTCTCCTATTTGGATTCAAAATCCTCTATATTAAGCTCTTCCGTCTTGATGTGTCGCCATCAACACCCTCATCTTCATCGTCTAATAATTCTGGAGTAATCCACTCTTGTGATTTATTTCTCACTGGCAAGTAACATATCTTTCTCATTCCTCCACGTGCGAGTGCTAAATAATCGCAAATTGAACTGGACATAGACTAGATTGTTCAATCGTGAAACATCTAGCCGATTTTTTGAGTTATATCAATTTGTGTGTTGACTTTTGAGATTGAAAGTACAACACGGTCTCATATAAACTTATTTCAATCCAAGTGAAAAAAAATTCGGAAGGCATAGTATTTAACTAAGCCCATAATACTTGGGCCACATTACATCAAATCATCACTTTCTTTTACTGGACCAACTTCGATTTCTTCTACCCACCCTTAGCATTATCAGCAATTATTTATTTATTTCCGATCTCCTCAAGTGATAATTGAGCTTGAACAGAGATAAATTGTGCTGGAACAGTTGAACTTCCAACAGAAAAGGAAAATAAATAATAAATAAATTGATCTTGAATAATGAAAAAAAAAATGCCAAAACCTTTTGCACTAACAAATACTTCAAACAGTTGAGCTCTTGGTTGGGACAAATGTAGGCCACCAGAAATTGTAGTGCACAAGTAGCCCAAAAAATCTAGCTCCTCAAGTTTAAAAAAAGAAGAAAATGCTAGTCAAACTTTTTAACTCAGACAAGAGAGGAATACTTCGACCCATTGATGCCCACAACGAGATTTGAGCCGTCAGATTACATGTGCACATCGAGATATGTCATTCTAACATTAGATGAAATTCCACATGAAATATAATACAATAAATGCAACATATACTTAAATATGTCAATG